AGGGTCAGGTGCTGTCCATTCCTGCAGAGGGTGCTGCACACGCAATCCAGAGCACCCAGAAGAATCACACCTGTCTGCCTTGCCTCCTGGAGGGCAGAGATCTGTACCTGTCTGAGGCAAGGTACAGCCCTAGCAAGCCTAGGAGAGAAGGGAGTTCTAGACCCAGGTCCACCCAGGTTGAGGTGGAGGGGATGGCTGACTTGAGTATCAGGAGGGGTAGCCCTGGCTCAGGACCCCTTTATGCAAATTAGGTTTCAGTCAGTGCCATTGTGATTGGTGGGAAGTTTATCAGGCGTTTGTTGATTGGTGGATTTTAATTCTGAGCATGGCTTGCCTGTGGGGGGCCTGGGTGAGCCTGGGCCCCCAACCCTAGCAGTCTCCCAACTTGGTTTGAATTAGATTCGCTGGCTCCGTTTTGCTTTTGCTTTTTTATATTACTGGACAGGCAATTCGGAGAAAAAAGCCACCATTTCTACTTGGAGGTGAGCCAAGAAAAACTTGGCACCGATTCCTTATAGGATCTTGAAAGTTGAGGTGAACAGAGGAGCCATGGGACTGTCGGGGAGGGGGCTCTAAGCACAGATGAGTGAGATAAAGCTGGCCAGGGCAGGGGGGAGGGGCCTGGGCAGGCAGTGCCAGAGGCTGTTTCACTGCCCCACCCCCTGTCCAATAGAGATTCCTTGAGACTCCTCAGGGGATCGGGTGGGGGGCAAAGAAAGGGGAGCAGGGGTCCATAGGTTCCCACGGTGGCATCTGAAGAGCTGGAGGGAGCCCCAGGTTTAAACACCTGCTGGACAGAGCACAGAGCTAGGAGGACCTCTTTCCTCTCTAGCTGCTGCACTTGGCCAGCGGGGAGGTGGAGGAGGCTTTAACTCAAAATCAGGTTAGGAGTTTGCACTATTAGCTGGGCTTGTTACACTCTTAATTAATTAAATGAGACTATTTGCCACTTCAAGTAAGTCAGATTTTCTCATCACCAGAAAAGAAATGGCTTTTCACACCAGGGAAGGAGCAGGTCAGGTTTAAAAGGGAAGCAGAAATGTTGCATTTCACATGTGATTCTTCTGTGTCCCAGCACTGTCAGAGGAACCCCAGCAGGGAGCAGCCAGTCACTTGCCAACTGGGCTTTCCCACTGCCCCCTCTCCTGGCCCGGCCAGATAAGTTAATCGGCTCTCAAGTACAAATACTGTCAACCACAAGGTATTTGCGGTGATAAGGCACCAGGGCACAGGACACATGAAGACCTTGGTCTCTAATTTTGAATGCCAGCAAGGGCAGAGGTGGCCTACGTGGGAGGCAGGGAGACCTGCAGAAGGGGAGCCCAAGCGATGACAGCCCCCCATGCAGGGCAGCAGGACAGTGGGGACCCGGCAGCATATGGCTTCTTCAATGCCTGTTGCTCTAAGGAGGCAACCTTTGCAACTTTCACACGCAAACTTTGAGGCCAACCAAGTTACACTACGTAACCAAAAGGGAAGAAAAGCAAACACACCAAAGCACCCTCACGAAAGGGTTCAAATGCACCAAAGTAGCCACCCTGGGGGAAGCCACAGCTCTGAGCACCTGGGGCAGGTATCATCTGGTCATCTTGTCCAGCTGTGCCCTGGCTGCTGCTTTACAGCCGTGCCAGCTGCTTCCCACTCAAACTCAGTGACAGCGAGAAAGAGGGAAAGCTTTGGCTGTTGTTATTTTCTGCTGTTATTCAAGTAGGCATTCTTCTGTTGAATTCTGAATATAAATTCTAGAAAATTCTTTTCTACATAATTGATCATTGCCCTAACCATTTTGTAAAATTGGAACTACAACAAAAGTCTGTCTAAAGTAGTTTCTTTTAGACTTAAAAAAAAAACCCTTAACATATGTACATATGTATGTGAGTATGTATATTTGTACCAAGGCCAATTTCATGCCTTCACCATGGCCATTTATTTCTGATTGTGGTACACTAGCATATTTTCAAGTTTAATACTATATAAAGTTTTTGTGTGACAAGAACAATGATAATGTCACTCTGTCATGTTATGACACTGATGCTTTTTAATGATCCTTGAGTGTTTGAGTTCCTTGATGTTAAGTCCAGGTTGATATCACAGTCAGATTAATCAATGGACTTGGCAGCCACTGATCTTTATTACCAGCTCCTCCTAGGAGCTCCCTGTCATGGTGCAAATGTGCCCCACTTAACTTCATGAGCTGCCCTGAAAAGGTGCCTGCTCCTTAGCCCGCTGCACTGCTCCTGCTCACACCTGGATGCAGCCCACGGCATGGGGTCCGAGTTGGATGCGATTTTACGTTGATCTCTAAAGGGAAGATGGTCATTTCCTGCCAAGACTTGTATTCCTTGCATGTCTCAAGCTGACATGCCAGCTCTGTGCTCAGCCCAGCACCCGGGCCCACATGCACAGGACGAACCTTGACCACCCCATCTTTTAAAATCATCTCCCTATTTGTAAGGCCGGCGGATCTCTGCTGCTAGAAAATATTCCCATTACAGCTCCAGGCGTCTACACTGAGTGCTATTTGCCAGGTGATGTTGTATCCCCATTTCTTAAAATTTATTTAACTTGCTCAAAGCTTTTCAGCTCCTGAAATTATTTTTTAAAATTCACAAAAGCTGAAAGACCCCTAGACAGTATTAATTCCATCATTTTGGTGCCTGATTTCACAGATGGTTTTCCTTAGGGTTAACACGCAGCCGTTCCTGTTTCCCATAGCAAGTTCTTTAGATCTTCTTGTTCTCCCTGCCACATTCTCTCTCCCTCTTGATTAATTTTTAATTGGGGTGATATTTGGACACCCCCATCAGGTAGTGTACCCAACACCAAATCACCGTAGTCTATTGTGCTTCCTTCCTTCTGCGTTCTAACCCCTGCCCCATGCTCCCCCCTCGGAGGCTTCAGTTCTGTAGTCAGCTTTCAAGGCTTGGTTTCTCTGCTTGTCTTTACCTGGCTCTTGGTGACTCCACATTCTACTTATTTCACTTAGCACCATCCCTTCCAGCTCCATCCATGTTGCCACAAATAACATGAGTTTATCTTTTTTGATCGTTGAGTAGTATTCCAGTGTGTGTGTGTGTGTGTGTGTGTGTGTGTGTGTATGCGCGTGTGCGCACGCGCGCATTTCTCAGTCATCTATTTGGGGGCACTTAGGTTGTTTCCATAATTTAGTTATAATAAACAGCACTGCAGTAAACATGGGGTTGCAAGTTTCCTTTCAAATTAGGGTTTTGAATTTTTCAGGGAGATGCCTAGAAGTGAAATGACTGGGTATAGGGCAGATCCATTTTTGATGTCTTGAGACCCCTCCAGAGCGCTCTCCCTAGGGCTGGGCCAGTCTGCATTCCCTCGAGCAGTGCAGGGGATTTCCCTTCCCTCCACCTCCGCCCCAGTGCTTGTCTCTGGCCTGCATGTCCTCTCTCCTGAGACTGTCTCAGATGGTCAAAAAGGTTCTAAGTTTCTGGGAGCTCGGGTGCGGTCACATTGGTGCAGATATTACAATGGATGCCGTAAAGAGAAGTCACAGCTGGCATCCAGCCAGAGTGCGACCTTATATCATACTGGGTGGTTGTTTTCTTCCTTTTCTGCTGGAAATTGATGTGGGAGAGATGAAAGAGAGGTTGGCAGTGGTCTCTATTTTGTCTCCTGGAAACCACAGCCTACCTGGCTGGCAGAAAGTCCCACTCAGTCAAGTGTGGGTCTCCCCCCACTTTCTTAATGTTGGAAGGTACCTGGTTTGGGGGGGCATGGTTCAGGAAAGGCCTCTCCTCGCAACTTGTCCACATCCCTCGACCTTGAAGACCCAGTGCTCTGACATCCTTAGTGTCATTGTCAGCAAAGGGGACTGTGGTCCCCAAGGCCTGGACTCTTGTCAACATGTCCTTGCCATCCCATCAGAGACCTCACCATTTCCCAGCAAACACTGCACAGGAGTGGGGTTCTGGTTCCCCATCTCTCCAGACTTGCCCCCCATTGACCTGCTAGTTACTTCAGTCCATTCTTCTCCAACATTCCTTCTCCCTTTGTTTTCCCTGAGACATTGGCAGTGCCTCACCTGAGGAGTCGGGCTCTCTGGAGACACATCCACTCTGCATGTGTTAATCCATGATTCTGTGTCACATTTCTGGATACCGATGCCCTGGGGGTAGACTGGCGTGGCGTGCCAACCCCAGCTCCCCCAGCTACGCCAGCTCCTAACCTCCAGCTCGTCCTCCCTCAGCCTCTGGCCCCTTTGTGGAGTCCTGTGCAGTGACAGTGGGCCAGGGTGCAGGGATCCCATTGGCATAGGCTTTAGTCTTTCCTGGGGGCCACTCCATGACTATCACAGTCCCTGCTGCACATCACCCATAGGACTGAAGGATGGGGAGAAGTTTTCCTAGAACTGGGCCAGGCCACGTCCATCAACTGGTGGAGCAGGTGCCTTCTGGAAAGGCCTTGGCTATTCCAGCTGCCACATCCCTTTGATGATCTTCAGAAACTGGCCAGCAATTTCATTTCCATACTTCAAGAACCCCTTCTAGACAGAATAGCTTTGAAATATCGAGAAATGTGTTCTTGCCTCTTAAGGGTCAATGTGTGGTCCTCAGTGCTTTAAACCTGAATGGTCTGACCCAGGGAGGAAAGGTCAGGACTGAGTCTTACCATGTACGATTCCAGGGGCCCCTGGGAGCATCGCAGAGACCCATGAGCTGTGTTCTCAGCACAAAGGACACAAGCTCGGATTCTTTTAGGTTGATTGGACGAGCAGGATGCTTTTCATCCTTTCCTGCTGGGGGCAGGGGCCTGGCTATCGAGGGGGGCAGGGAGGGTTAAATGGTCCACAGGAGAGAATCGCAGACCTCCCCAAATGTAAATGCTTCACATAGATAAATTTTTAATGGAAATCAATTTCACTCCTCCCAGTCAGCTTTGGGCTTCTTGGAAAATATAACCTGCTCACTGTTGATTACTGACGCTGTGTTTCCTTTCTCTCCCCCAACCCCCACCTTCCCAACCTGTTGCAGCTGCCCGTACCTGGCCGTGAACATCACCCCTGCCATCCCCGTGGTCGGAGGCGTCCTGTTCCTCTTCGTGATGGGCACCCTGCTGCGCACCAGCTTCAGTGACCCCGGAGTCCTGCCGCGGGCCACGCCCGATGAGGCTGCCGACCTGGAAAGGCAAATAGGTAACCCTGAAGGTCTGTCCGTTGCCTCAGGGCACTGCCCGCCTGTGCTCGGCCACAGTGTGGGGGGAACCAGCTGAGGTGGCCACGCAGGAGGGGCGGGGCCTGGCCGGTGCGAGTAATGGGGAGGAGGCTGAAGTCTCCGCTCCCTCAGCCCAGAATGACGAGTAGGAGGTGGGATGTGGAGTGCGGAGGTAAGGCCAAGGGGCTGAAGCCTGGAGGGGCTAGTATCTGTCCCCAGGGCCGCACCTGAGCTGCCACCCCCCCCCCTTGACTCTGGGAAACCGCGTGTCTTAGTCTGCTCTGAGAGGCCTCTGCTGAGCTGCGGCCACACCTGCTTTCTCGCCCCTTTACGCTCACCAGAGATGGGCTCTCGTTGTTGTACTATCAACCTGGAAAGGTGATCTTAGCTGCTGTCTTATTAATCCAGCCTCAGATGCAGAATTTGCTTTATTAATGCGGAACAGGGATGTATGTTTGTGATCTGTATCGAGGTAAAGAGCTTTCTGTGTCCTTCGATGTCAAAATCCCAGGATACACATTTCACAGCAATCCACTGTAAAGATTGTCAAACAAATCTTCATCCCCTCTCTTTTTTCTAACTAAAAAGAGAGCTCTTCTTGCTCTTACAAGGTCGTTGGTACGTTGGTTAATCTGACAAGTGTGGCAGGGAGGTTGTGATAACTCAGTGGACAGGAGGAGGTTGGGCGGGAGAAACCACGTGACAGGACGGCTCACTCCAGGGGCACCCACCCGTGTGCCTCCCTTCCCAGCCTCGCTCAGCCGGAGGCCCCTCCTTTGCCCAGCATGTAAAGTGGTCCAGGCCTCGCCTGGTCCCTCTACCCAGGCGGTGAAACCCAGCTGTGTCCTCTCCAGCATCCATCCTCCAACCCTGCCACTAAATATCTGGGAGAGGACAGTAAAGGTTCTACAGTGACGGTGGATGGGGGTGACCTTACACCAGTTTCCTGTGTCCTGAGGTCAGGAAGAAACAAAGAGGAAGGACAGTCTCCTTTAGCGGCCTCATGCTAGGATTCCAGGACGGGGCGTGCTAATTCATCACCCTCAGGCTCACATCTCATGGCATGTTAATAGTGTGTAAAGCCCACCCCTGGCTACCAAGGAATTCAGTCACCTGCTAGTGAGGCAGTTGGTGCAGGAGACTTTATGGTCACACTCATTCCACAAATAGGACACTGAACCCCAAATGGGTTCAAAGGGAGAGAGTGGCAGAGCCCAAGCCTAGAGCAGTCTCCTGGCTCAGCTCTGGCTGAGTCATTGTGTCATGGGGGAAGAGGCCTGTTGGGCCCTTTAGCCGCCGCGTGCACCCTTCCTGAAGCATTCTCCACACTTGGCCTCAGACCTGTGCTCAGTGGCGAGCGGAGAGCCTGTCCCCACGCTGGCCACTAAGCTCCTTCCTGCTGTGACCCTGTTTCTGTGCCACCTCTTGGTCAGTGCAAGGAATAAGGCAAAACAGGCACTGTCTTCCTTACAAAGCAGGTGATAAAGAGCACCCTGGGCCCCTCTGAGAGCAGGTTCTACGGGGCAGAGTTCCCATGCACCCCTGTTAATACGGTGGAAGTCGCGTAATTCACTGAACTGCTTTTCTTCTTCTCAAACTTGATAACCTCAGAGCAGTATTTTTTAACATAAGTATTTTTAAAAACCATCATTGCCCCAAGCCCTCAGAAAATAGATCCTGTGTGATAACTAGAGGGAACAAAGATGAAACCTTTTGTTTCCAGTGAAGAAAAGAAAGTGGCTTTAGAGACAGGCCTTCTCTGCAGCAGACAGGAGCAGCTCAGCCAAACTGCCTCTCCTGCAAGGCAATTATAAAACTGGAAAAAATCATCAGAAACAATCACTGCATGGTTCGGGAATCTCACTGCACCAGGAGGAAATTGCTCCTGAAAAATGATGGAAATTTGGGCAAGAAAAGGGGGTCTGTGTGCTGTCCCTGGGGGCTGCACAGGTTCCCACCTTCAACCCCTAAAGGAGGAGCTCTGCCGGGCACACCCGAAGAAGCCCCTGCCTGAGGGGCAGGCGACTGGGTGCTGAATGTGGAAAAAAATCAGTAACTGAGATTGCCATCTGGAGAAACTAGAAAAAGAACAAACTAAACTCAAAGAAAATGGTAGAAAGGGACCCTCAAAGACTATAAACCAATGAGATAGAAAATACAAACAACAGCAGAGAAAACCAGTGGGACCAAGAAAACCAGTGAGAGAAGAGCAACAAAACCAACAAAGCCTGCGCTCAGCTACCCCCACCCCCAGCCCAAACCCAGGACAGAGAGAGGGAAAGAAGACAAATCACCAACCTCACGAACGAAGGAAGGGGTGGTGATGGCCATTCACCCTATAGCGTAAGTTACTTCAACTATATGCCACAACTTAGACAATTTTAGATGAATGGACAAATACTTAGAAAGCCACAATTCCCCCCACCCCACCCCCACCAAAAAAACTGACTTGAGAAGAAATGGAAAATCTGAAGAAACTGTTGACAAGTAAAGAAATCAGTTGTTGACATCCGCATGGATGAGCCTCTAGAACATCCGCCAGGGAAGGGCCCACATGACCCCACGCAGAGCAGATCGTAGAAGGCTGGGCTGGGGGAGGGTTGGGGGAGGGGGGAGGTTCTAGGGAGAACTTGTCGGGGTGATAAAAATGGCCTAAAATTAGGGCCTCCCTGGTGGTGCAAGGGGTTAAGAAGCAGCCTGTGAAGCTGTCCGCAGCCTCTGAAGCACGAGTTCGATCCCCGGCCCTCTGGGAGCTACCCACATGGCACAGCAGACCTCTCCTGTCTCGCCCGCTGCTCCCCTCAGCAGTGTATTTCAGTCAGTCTGCCTGTTCCGCTCCCCACTCTGTCTCTGTGAATCCTCTCACCCTCCCACACCTCTGGCCTACACCCCAGCTCTTGTATGCAGAAATAAAAAAAAAAGAAAAAAGAAAATGGCCTAAAATTAGATGGTGGTAACAGCCACACTATCTACCAAATTCACTCGCTAGATGGTGTCCTCACAACTGTTATGGCGTGCAGATTATACCACAATAAAGCTGTCCAGAAAAGAAGGAAGCAAGGGAGGGGGCAAAGGAAGCTGAGGGCTGAGGGAGACACCCCCCAGCCCTTCGTCTGTGACGCCAGCAAGAATCTGGCCCTTTCTCAGCCTCCGCCCTCCATGTTCTTTCAGCTGGGAAGACCACTCACTCCCACAAGTTTCTGGTCAGGATTAGCTCGGTGTTAATATTTTTTTTAAGGAAAACTCCCTCTTTTCCCCTCAGTTCTCTCTTCACCCTCCACAAACACAGATTCTCAGGAAAAGCCACCTTAAGTGTGAGAGGAAGAAGCGGCCGTGCTGGTGGACTGCCGCGGGCCTGGGAAGAAGCCCGTGTCGCTTGACTGTGGGAGCGCGAGTGTGTTTCAGCGGCATCTCGGCCCATTTATTTCGTGCGTTCAAACTAAAGAGGAAAGATGAAAAATGAGACTTGGAAAGTTTTTATTAGCGGAGTTATTAATTCTAATTACCCTCTGTACATCTGCTGAGAGACGCGCGGAGCAGCCTCTTGAACCCAGCTGCCCGCGTCATTTTTGGAGGGGTCTGCCGAGGGGCTGGGCACTTCCCCGTCCTGGGGTTTGTGGAGGGAGCGGCTGTGGTGAGAGGAGGTCTATGTCCTGAGTCTGTCGTGAGGTGAGTCTCCTCTGTCTTCTCTTTTCTGAATGAACTTTCCTGATAACTTACTTCGCAGCTACAGTGACATCAAAACACACCACAGGGGTCTTTCTTGGAATCGTGACAGTGTCAGAAACTAGGTTTTCTCAGTTTGTTTTCGGGTGATCAGATGCTAAACAACTGTTGTGTGGTTGAGAAAGAAGGTCTGAGCTGCTGTCCCATAAGCCACAGGATCAGACTTCTGTTTCAGTTAGGGATGGACTTTCCTGGGCGTCAAAACAGGGAAAGACACGACCACCCCTCTTTATGTTCCACGCGCCCAGCTCTTCCCATCATACTCCCCTCTGTCCCCAGGATGCCAGGACATCCTCTGGCTCATGGAAAGAACAGGACTCAGAGCAGCAGGGGAGAGAAGGGTGAGGCAGGCAGGTGCGACTCAGCCCTGGACAGAGCCCTGGGCCCAGGAGACCTCAGAGGACCACCGCAGATAGAGACACGCAGGGCTAAGTCTGGTCATTTTGGAGCTGAGCAGGGAGATGCAAGTAAGATGGGGGAAGCAGTCAGGAAAGCTCATCTTCTAAAAACAAAAGTGCAAAAACTGCCAAGTTAACCAGCTATGACACCTGCCATTAAAGTACATGCATGTGTTTGTGTGTGTTCAGCAGTGTGGGCAACTGTGCACACAACAGAGGGACCCCAACATAGGGAGACTTGATTGCAGATTATCAGATCCGCTGACACATGCGTCGTTAGACTTGAGGAAGCCATCAAATTTCAAAGTAATTCCATGGTGACTATTACTAAAAGAAATGATCAACTTAAAATGAAACCAACATGGCTTAACAAAAATTCACATGGTAAAAAATGAAATCACCAGTAAAAGTAATAACTATATTAGGGAATTCACAAAAGCAGTTTTCATGTTATTAAAAAAAACTGTTTTATAAAAAGATCTTAGTTATACATTTTATACAGAAAGGGAATTACTCCAATAAAAGTGAGTTTAGTAAAATTAAAATAGATACGGGGAAAACAGAAATAGTTTAACTTCGCAGTAGAGAAAATTGATTATGGACTTAAACTGACTGAGGAGCCATTCTCCTCCAAAAGTATTTTCTTTAACAAAAATCCATCCTTCTTGTAAAATTCCAATTAAAGTGCTTCAACTCTGAGACACAGAATTAAGATGTCCTTTGGGAAAAGAAAAAAAAGTCAAATTGGTGGGTGAAAACGTCACATCCCTGTGGGGCCTTCGCAGCCACTGTGCTCTCTGGGCCATGCAGAACCTTCCAGAACTGCTGGCCTGTTTCCCCAGCACCAGGCTGCTGTC